AAAAGATAAAATGATTGTTATCATGGTAACTTTCCAGAGTAGTAAAATCCCGGCTCGTATAAAATGGATGAGCAGTATTTTGGCGTCTGATAAGTCTTCAAGCTGATCTGATTAATAAAACTGGACTTTCTGGATCGTGTTTCATAGTCTCAGTATCTAAAGCAACTCTTCCTTACCAACACAGCCTTATGATTTTTTTTTTGTAACACAGGGTTGTTGGTCTGAACATCCTCTATGAATGCTTTCTGACGGCAGATTTATTAAGGCTGCGTCCCACAATTTTTGTAACTTTTAAAAAAAGTTTGTCAATCCTGCTCCCAGTAATAGACCGGGCGTGCAGAGGTAGTAAACTTCTCTCGACCTCTTTAAATAAAATAAAAAAATTAATCTTCACACAACTACTTCTGTCACTTTTGTTGTGTAGAACCGACAGCAACATATGAAAGGCTTTGAGGAGAGTCTGTCTAGAAGTGTGCAACGTTATTTATCTGCATTTGCACAATGCAGGGACCTTGGACACCTAGTGTGCAACCTAGTATGTTTGTGTCATACTGGGGCCTTTTCTGTCACCTCTTCATCTCTCTTTTGTGTGTTTGCATACACAAATACCTCCTGGGTGGGGGGGTTAAGATGTCATCTGCGATTGCCCTCTTCGAACAATCAGCACAGCCATGCACATACGACAGACATCCAGTTTCCAAATTGATAGACCATGTAGAAATCTAATTAGACAGGAGAAATCTACCGTGAAAACCAGGCTGCTAATAAACACTGTATCTCATCCATCGTTTACGGCAAAGTTAAGTGCAAAGAATGCTAGCTCATTTGCCACGGAAAAAAACTCAGAGGGAGCCACCCGTGCTTTAAGAATAATAGTCGCTCCAAAAAACAGTTGCCTTGCTGATTGTAGAGATTTTCCAGAAATGTGGAGGCACAGTGCTGTAGCGGAGACGAGGAGTGATGCCAGAATGAAAACCAATTTTCTGTTTCTGGTGCATGAGCAAAATTGCTGGGAGAAAAGACAGCTTGATAGAATTATTACTGTTGGGGGCGTAAGAACTGTGCTCTGTGACAGTGTATAATAGAGCTCAAACTTTTATTTTGATTAAACAAAATTCATCTGGTTTCAATTTAAGCTGATGGGCTACTTCTTCTCTATTTCAAATAAAGAGAGAGTGCCCCAACTGGAAACAAAAGAGGGGGGAAAGGCCAATGTGGTTTTGACAAGGCGAGTGTGTGTGTGTTTTTGTGAGGGGAATAAATGGGGGGGGGTTAATTCATCTGACTCCTTCATGCCACTGTGGCAGAGGCTATATGTATTGTCGGGCGGGTTGCCATGGCAACAGCTGCGGAGTAAGGAAATCTTTCTCTTCTCCTTCTCAACCCCCCCCCCCCCCCCCCTTTCTCTGTCCAGTACCATGTCAAATTTCTGCCGCTCTCTCTCTCTCCCTCCCTTCCTCTCTTCCCCTCTCTCTCGCCGACTTGTACAGACATGGTTTGCAGAGTTTTGGGTGGGGAATGTTCAGGTATGCGTTCGCACACACACACACACACACACACACACATAATCTGTCTGTGTACTGCTGGTGTAGCAGACTAGGGAACAATGAGTCTCAAAAAGAGACTTTCCTTCAAGAGGACCTGGAACTTCAACACTGTAAGTAAACTTGTGGTTTGCCGGGCGGGCCTCGTCTTCCTCCGTGTAAAGCGGGGAGACTCCTTTTGCTCATATAAGCTGTTTTTCTCATTAATCTCCCTCTTTTGTTGCTCGTCTCTTTCTCTCGCCTTCTCAGAACAGCTGTTTGAAGCGGTGGGGACTCGTGGTTGTTTGTTTGCGGGGTGCTAGAATCAGCCTTGACTTGTGTAAAACTTTAGAAGTGGCTTTTTAAAAAATCTGTGGTAAAGTGTTGAACAGGATTTCATCTCAACCCAGTTTTCTGAAGGAAGGAACGCGCTTAAACAAGCCCAAAAGATAAAAGAAGTCACTTTTAAAAGATGAGCATTACACTCTGAGAGAGGTGTTAATGGGTGACATTAGCGTTTGTGTGAATGTGGTTTATCCTTCGACTGGGAGTGTGTTTTTGTCACGGCGGCTCGCTTCAGATCATACACATAAATCTGTATCGGTGTGATCATCTACGTTCCTTCAGCATGTGGTGTCTCGGGATGCTAGACTGTACAGCGTGGGGGCCTTACCACAGTAAAGCTGGAAGAGCGTTTTCCAGCTGGAGAGCCAAATCCTGATCCGTGTGGAGCCAGGGTACTCGCTGTGACTTGAAATGTGATTTTGTCCATTTGGTTGGTAACATCCTAATGTGGACAGCTTTCAGAGGGATTCCAGCTGGGAAATGGGAGTTCTGCAATTCAGCCCTGCATGAAGAGGATCAAAGAGGTACTTCAGAGCCACCCACGGTGAACCAGCTCGTCACCAGAGGTGTCAACAGAGGAAGGGAGTGTGTGGACAAGAGGGGACGGTGTGCCTGGGTCATCACTTCGGCCTCACTGTAGTGGACTTGAGGGCAAGGAAGCAATAACAAGTTGAAAAACACACAGTTGTGTGTGTGTGCGTGTGTGTGGTCTAACCCCTGCGGCCTCATACATACAAACATACACACCACCCTCTGTATCGTTTGCCAGCTCTACCTGGTCAACTTTTAATTGTGCCACGTCATCATTACGTCATTTAATTTGAGAAAGTGCTTATGCTTAATGATTAGTCATTAAATAGATAAGTTGATCCACAGATTATTAACCAACAATACTTTTCGTGGCCAATTTATCATTTAATTCATTAATTGTGAGGGTTCGCTAATTTTCTAAGTTTATATCATTGTAAACTGAATAATTTTCAGCTCACCTCTTATAGAGGTCATTTAATAGAGCAAACATTCAGTCTATTATTTGAAGGAAAAGATATCACCAAATTAATCCACTGCCCCATTTGAGAATGCAAGTAGAATTTGAATTCACTGAATTGACGTTGTCACAGGTTAGATTAACTGCTGGATTTTGCAACATTTCCGTTCATTTATGGGCTCTTCAGCCTGCTTACGCAACGTATGACATATTTGTCATCAACACAACTGTCCTCTGACATGAGCAGGGCTTAAAAGATGAAGGATTACATCAGCTTTGTGTGTCAGGAGGGCGTTCGTTATTATTTATTGCAATACTCCCGCTCACATGTCTGTGAACAAGTGGAAGTTCTACTCTTACAAGAAAAGGTCTGTTTTATTTGTCAGCTTATAAGTAAAGTCTTTCCATACACAGGTTTTAAAAGTAGCACTGACTCCCAAAGTACGGATAGTAGTCAATACACTAAATCCCAATTTCAAGTTTCTGCCTGGAGACTTTCTGTTTGTATAAAACCAAAATTTACGTCACATAATGTGATGCCCGTCTCATTCTTTAAAGTGAACCATGGTCACAGCACTGTATATATTTAAGGTTTGAGGTTTAGCTGCTTTTAGACCCAAAAGGACAACCAGATGGAGTGGGTGTTCTCTCTTTTCTCTCTCTCTTCTGTTTTGGTTTCGCGTTGGTCATCTTCCTACCCACCCATGGTTACTGTACACATGCTAACCACCACAGAAGGGGATGCTTTTGGGTGTTGACTTGATGGGGGATGGACACCGCAGCAGCAGCAGAGTTGTAAAGAGGCTGCGACAGACAATTAAGGGTTTTTTGTGGCCTGTGTCTGATAGGGCTTTTACATGTGGTCACTCCCAAAATGGAACGAGTCGTCAAGTTGGTGCGCATGACCGTGGTCACGTCCCCGGCCTTCAGACAACCAGTGGCATCAACAGAAACTTAAAAGAATGGGCTGGTCCTCGATATGTCTGGACTTATTCTATGGCTGATTGATCAAACTGAAAACTACCAGTTAAATCACAACTCACAGCCAGTTTAGAAATGATACTATGAGTGAAACCAGACAGGTAACTGAAACCATGTCTGTATGTTCCACTTTCAAGAATAGCAGGATGCATTGCTTTAGTTAATTTTCATTGTTCTATAATGTTGTAGCTCTACTCTCCAGTATTATGCAATCCACCGAGGCACAAACTGTGTGTACTGCTCACACTATGGCAGCCTGGCAGTAAGAACCTTGTTCAGACGTATTATCAGCCTTGAATATTCACACTTTAAAGTGGCAGCTCAGAAAACACCCTGGAAATAGTCTCCCCTTTTCAGATGAATCCTCCAACGCACGACACACTCGATTTTTTCGAGTGTTCTTGGACCAAGCCCTAAGATGCGCCTCTCATATCTTCCCCTGCATTTAAATATATTTGCGACAACAGCTTCACAGTTTGGGCTTCAAAGCTGTCTTTATTAGCCTAACCAAAATGATGCTTTACAGAAGGCCAATGCTGAGGCAGTGACTTCAAACTGAAGCATTGCCAAGCAGATATATGTTGATAAGATCAGACACGGGCGGTGTTTTGTTTAGCATTATTCCTTGACTCTAATTACACCCAAGTATGGAAAGTTGTCCCTGTGTAATTTCCATGCCCACTAGGGGTGCTTGTGCTGTTTGCGTTTTAATCAGGGACATCTACACATGCATAAACCACTCGTTCCTTAAATTAGCCAGTGAAAAGAGAGCCATTACGGCCACTGATGGCCTCTCAACTAGCCCTGCCTTGATGAGCTCTGATCTTTGTGACTGCAGTTAGCAGGAATGCGCACATTCAGGGGCTGTGAGGGTAATATAAATTGAGGGTGGGGTCCTGGTGTGGAGGTGTGAACATTTGTGTGGTAGAGGTGAGGGGTCCACCCACTTACAAATTAATGGTCTTGTGTAAGGACCCAGTCCTTTCCCAGTAGCACACACACACACGCTAACACTCATCGGCAACCACAAAGATACACACCTCCAAGCGACTGGTGTGATGACTGAAGAGACACTGCTATCAGCACCGACTTCAGTCTCTTGTCTCAGCACAGGAGGTCATGAGGGCAGCCTCTCACTCATGTCTCTCTTTGTTCTCTTTCAGTCTGCTGCTTCCTCAGATGGTGGTGAGTACCCTTCCTTTATTACTACTTTAAAACACTATTCTCTAAAAGTCTAAACATTATCACATGGTATTAAATGTAGGATAGAGTGTGAGCTCTGTAAGGGAATATTTTTAAAACTGAATTGAATGGCAGGATTAAGGCTTTTTCTTAGGAATCTGTTTTTATTAACATAGTGAGACATTTTGATTGTGTCCTCCTTTCAGTGCTTTGGCCAAACTATTCAGGGTCTGCATTTTTATTTCTCGTTTTCTGCTCTACCCTCAAGACAGAACTTTGTAGTTGCTCTATAAAAATGGTCTAATAAAAAAGACTTAGCACATCAACTGTAGGCAGCATGCCTTATTAACAAAGGATGTTTGCTAAACGTGTTTTGGGCTTACAGTCATGGGGCTGAGGTGCGTGCTGTCTGGTCTTCCCTTTCGTAGCAGTTTTTAATAACATTTGCTAACAGCCTGACCAAGGCTGCGGTGAAGAGTGCCGCTCCCCTCCTTTCACTGTGGATGTGGATCAGAGATGCACGGCTGTTTGCTTTCTAAAGCCATCTCATTAACCGAGCAGCACACAGTGTGGTAAACAGGGCTAAAACAGCCTAATATATTAAACCAAGTCCAAACAAGCGGCTTTTCAGCAAACCTTCAAAAAAGATTTGTGGCCCAATTTAAAAAAAGTTCCCAGTTCTTGAGATTGTCATGCTTAACATAAATCCTGTGAAATTTTAATGACACATCTACTGATTCAGTTTGGAGAAATTCGGATGTACAGTAAGTTTTAAAAGGTCATGTATAGGCCACCTTAGTCATAATCTGAAAAACCCCAACGTAAGGATGTTAGTGATGTCATGTGTTATTTACAGTGCTTTGATTTCACAGCGCCACAGTTTAGTTGGAACTACACCTATTTGTAAATCCAACCTAATTTGTGTGCAGGCATACTGGCAGCATGAGGATATGCTGTTCCTCACCTTGCCTAACCTAGCTAATATTTCTGTTCCCAGCAGCAGAGAGAAACCCTGTTAATACCAGTCGCCCAGGCCAACCAGTTGACTCTCAACAGAATGTCAGAAACAGCTATTTATCCGTAACAAACCCTACTGTGACCCTTTTGTTTTTTCTTTTCTTTTTACTGTGCGCTCCCTGCCTGGTCGGCCCACAGCTCTAAAGTGGCCATCTGCTGCCATGATAGCAGGTACCGTGCAGGTCCAAGCCCTTACTAGTTGAGCACCAGTTTCTGTCTTCTCACCCACTCTCCCTTGTGTCCTTTTAATGATCCATGCCCCCTCCGTCCTCCTCGCTCTTCTCCTACCAACCAAGTGACATCTGCTGACCTGTTCGCTCTGTACTGCACACATCCCTCATAACATGTTTCAGACCTTGACATTTACCTACTGTGTAACATTTAGCAGTGAGAGGTGTAACAAAGGGAACAGTAAAACCAATAGCTTACCTTTCCAAACACTTGACTGAAAGATTGTAGCAAGAGTTTTAGACGCACTAGTTAAATTAGCACTACAACCCGAATCCGATACAGTTCCAATGTTAGAAATGTGCTGTTTATTGTTTTGCCATTTTTATTGTTTACACTTTAAACAAAAATCCTAGGCATGCATACTTTTGTAAGATTTGTCTTGTTTGTGGGTTCTTAGAGGAGATCTAATGAAGTCTTTATAAAAGCATTGTTCTCTATGTATTAAATTGCAGCACTCAGGTTTGCCTTCTCAAAAATTGCTCAAACAAGTTGAGTGAAGGTCAAAATTGTCAAAAGGACGGAAAACACACAAAAATGCTGAACCATACAGGGATATTTAGAAGCCTGAGAGAGCACACAGGAGAACAGCTCTAATATTCCCTCTGGCTAGAATTACCCTTCAACATCAGAGACCTCTAACCTTTTGCATTTCGCTCTCCCGTCTTGCAGACTACAGTGGAGTCCAGTTGCAGGGATGCTGCAGCCAGAGCAGCCTGAACAGTAATGGCAGTCTTCCAGGAGCAGGCAGCCATCGAGGGGTCCTGGAACAGCGCGTGGCCAGCTGGGCCGCCTGCTTCGAGCGGCTCCTCCAGGATCCAGTGGGTGTGCGCTACTTCTCTGTAAGTAAAGAAAAAAACAGTAGTTCTGAGGTAGTTCAAAATACTCTTGCTAGCATCCGATTACTTTGTTTGTTTATGTCACCACATGAATTATATTCAAGCTCAACATCAACCCCCCCCCCCCAGCATATTTTCATATTACCAGACCTCCCACATAAGTGATGTGTCTTTGAATTTAGCCCACAACACCATCAGAAGGCTCGACATTAGGTTCTGGCGTCCCAGATCCACCTCGCTCCTCACCTTCCATCAACACGGAGCAAGCTGCACTCGCCCACACTTTCCTGCGCCTACACTTACACCAATCTTGTTCGCATCATTAAACCCAGTAATTTCGTTCCTCACTACTGCTCTCAACAACAACAGCAACCACAACAACAACAGCGCTGGCAAGATGAGAAAATGATTACCACTTTGAGATCATATAGAAACTCTGATGCTGTGTGTCTCCACAGGAATTTCTCAAGAAAGAATTCAGTGAGGAGAATATCTTGTTCTGGCAGGCCTGTGAATACTTCAGTCATGTCCCTGCAACTGATAAAAAGCAGGTAAGTCCACATGAAGCCGCAGATGCAGTCAGAGCTGTTATTTGGTGGTATTGTATACTGTGGTCCATACTGTGATCTGCAGATATTCTTATTCTAAACTTGTCACGTAAATAAACAGCTCTACCAGACGTTAGTTACCAGAAGTTCACTCGCTTCCAATTCCCTCTGGTTGCTATACACTCCTACACGCCTCTCCATCCACGTTCTCACCCAAACTCTGTGCTTTTTTTCTCCTTTTTTGGCCTTTTCAGTGCAAATTGCATTGCATACAAACAGTGCAAGCTGCTGGTTGCCACCCATATTTGTTTTGGTACAAAACACTGCAATTATTTGAGGGGTGGTCAACTGTCTGAACTCTGTTGTTACTGACCAGTCATTCTGTAGTTATCTAGTGTATTTACTCAGTCGTATGGTTTGTGCTGTTTCCTGACTGTCAAAGACTAAAGGAACATGTGCAAGTTGGTGGAAACAAAAATCTTTGTGTCTGGTTTGTCCGGTCTTCAGGTTTGTCCCAAGCTTAATCTTTTCGTTTCCCTTTGAGGAGATTCCACTGCTAAAATCCACTTAAAACAAAATACGGTCTATGTCTGACCTCTCCTCACAGATTTTTCATATTTTCAAACTAAAAGGCTATCCAATATCCCAAAAAAAGTAATTATTAGTGAACATAATTTTGTGTAGCAGAAATGTTTTTTTCTCTCTTCTTCCATTAATCAGTTGCGACGCCGCACATTTATCTTGAGACCCCTTTGTGGGACCCGATCGCCGGTGTGGGACCACTGGTTTTTAGCACAGTAAGATAGTGCCAAAAACTAGTGGTTCTTGATGCCTTTATAATTTGTGTGCAAAATATATGAATAAAAGAGATGGTGACAGACATGTAGCGACATCATTTACCACAGCTGTTCTTGAAATCTCATTCCTGCAGCTGTCCCAGAGAGCTGGGGAGATCTACAACAGCTTCCTGTCCAGCAAGGCCACCATGCCGGTCAACATCGACAGCCAAGCCCAGCTGGCTGATGACGTCCTCACCTCCCCACGGCCCGACATGTTCAAGACACAGCAGCTACAGGTACCAACGACACAGCAGTAGTAGTGAGCTCATCTCTTAAGATAGCACAACCTGTTGGTTGGTCAATAAAATGTTATGTCAGTTCAATTATGCAGTTGTTACACATCAACCCTGAGCATCAAGATGTTTTTTTCTAGACAGTATTATTAGAAGGCGGGATTCTGTGTGCACTAGGGGGTTTTGTTCTCATCTAGCCTTTAGTCACTTTGCATAAGCATATTGGGTTTTTTTGGTGGCCATCTGGGTTTGTTTACAAAAAAGGCTCTGAGCCTTTACGAGAGAGATAAACACAAACTGGCATACACCCACAGAGAATCTAGCACATACTGTACACACAGACACATAGACATGCAGTCAGAGCTCTGTATATTTTCAGCCTGCACACGAGCATGATAAAATGTTATGTTATGACACCTGTCATAACATCAGCTGTAACCATATGTTAACACTACTAGTTTTGTCTGTCTGTGTTTCATTATATTCTTCTTCACTCCCTTATTTTTGATCCTACGTGCCTCTTTGTGCAGCTCACCTCCTCCTCTCCACTTTCACCAACTACTACTTCTTCTTCTTCTTCTCTTTGTCACTGTTTGTTTACTCACAAACACCACTCTTTATTTTCTTCACGTCTACAGATCTTCAACCTGATGAAGTTTGACAGCTATTCGCGATTCCTCAAGTCCTCCCTTTACCAAGAGTGTATGCGTGCTGAGGTGGACGGCCGACCCTTACCGGACCCCTACCAGATTCCCTGCAGTCCTGCGCCGTCGAAGCACAGTGCCAGCTCCGACCGCTCCACCCTTTCCACTCCGAAAAAGGTACCGCCGTAGCCTTTTTTACACTGCACCAAAGGGGATATATGACATTGCTGACGTTGCTCATCCGTCTAGCACGGCAAGTAAAGTATATGTTTCGGTTCTCTGACCAACAGGAGTCCAGAAAGCAGAGGTCAGGGAGGTCACTGACTGAAGACGGCAGAGACGAGAGTGCCGACAAGAAACGCGGCATCTTCTTCTCATGGTCCCGCAACAGGAGCTTCGGGAAGGGCCCAAAGAAGAAGGACATCGGAGACATTAACCTAGGTAAGAAATGAACTAAAAAGCCCGTTGCCGTGGTTACAAAGATCCCCGCTGTTTGAAGCTTTTGCAACACAGAAACTTTCAAAGTGCTGATGTGCCCTTGAAGAAGGCACCAAATCACTGCCAGCTCCAGAGTTGCCATGAGCTAAATGCGGGGGAGGCGTGTAGAAACACAGCTGCCCCGCAGTGATCAAAGTGTTACACACACACACTACTGGTACACTGGAACACAGACTTGTTGCAACTCTGGCATTTTGACACACTGAAGAGGGTATCAGCTACAAAGTATGTCAAAATATGGCGTTTTGGGGGCGATTTGATGATTATATCTTAATATACCTTGCATTTTGTCTTATTTCAAATGCTGGAATTGACTTAAATGTTACTACAAGCAGTCATACAATTTTTCCTTGCCTGTGTTGCCAAGTGGTTGCTCATGGTGAGAAATTGTTGGGTCTCTGTGAGTAATATCACATATCACAAAGACTACAGTCTACACCTGCTGTATATGAAAAGCACAATGAGATAACTGTTGTTGTGAATTGGCGCTATCTAAATAAAATTTAATTGAAAAGTATACGCAATATTGTAAATATCACAACTTTCAGTCAAACATTTGGCATGGTTATCTCTAATAATTCTATCAATTGAATTCTATCAATTGTCTCTATTTTCATTATGTGATCGTCCTCTCTTGCTTAAATGAACGTTAGGTGCATTTCACACTGGTGCTTTAAAATAAATGTCTCTCACTGAATGTAGCTGCCCTTAAATGTAATGAAACACCTTCTGTTTATTTACAAATAGCTTGTTTGCCTGCCAAGATTTTGTGGTGGCAAACTATAAATAATAAACCATTGTTGTAGGTGATGTTATAGCTTGACACTGTCTTGTTACATATCGTTACGGGTCATTTAATGTGAGTACTGTGTAAATGTCTCTTCATCAGCCTCTGTCCTGTTTTGTGCAGACTACTGGGGCAGTAATGGGCGGAGGGAGTCCCAGGGCTCCTTGTCGTCCGGTACCAGCCTGGAGATGGCCACTTCCTGCTCTGCTGGCAAGATCGAGGTAAGATTCCTCTGGACAGATCACCATGGCAACACAGGGCCCAGTGTCTGGTGAAGCCATCGTAATAAGCCAGAGTTGTTGTTTTTTTACTTGTCAGCCCACTCTTTTTTGTTTATGGATGGCATGAATCAGAGGGCAAAGAAAAACCTTATCTACAATTACAGCTAAATCATTGTATGCTTAACACTTAAAAGCCACAACCCAGTCCCTCTTGTTTAATTAAGCCTTTCAATCTCTTTTTAATTGTGTTTCGTCAGTCTGATAATCGCCACTCAGTGGGAGTATGGGAACGCTCCCCCAAACACTGCAGCGTCATGCTTCCCGACGGTTCCTGCTCCTCTATCACTCTCCGGCCCGGTGCCTCCATAAGGGAAGTCCTCCAACATCTCTGTCAAAACATCAACGTCAACATCGCTGCTGTCGACCTCTTCCTGGTGGGAGGGGAGAAGGTGAGGGAGGGAAAATTACTGACTTATGCTGAAAACATCTGCTGCTGATAGGTCTGAAAGCAGAGCGCCGCTGCAAGCAGGACCTGAATTAATTGACTCAACCCTCTGTTTATTATCAGACTTTGGTAACAATACAGTATGACTACACTTAGCACTTAAATTTTTTGCTTTATTATAGTTGAAACTTAACTGAAAGAAGCAGAATTTACCCAAGGTGAATTGAAAGGTTAAGTTACTGTACAAAGATGCTACAATATGTAGCGTGTTGATGCTTTCTGTTTTGCTAACGTGTACTTTCATGCTTTTTTCCTCCTAGCCTTTGGTGTTGGACCAAGACTGCCTGACCCTCAGCTCACGAGACTTGAGAATGGAGAAGCGGACCTTGTTTAGGTATGAATGATCACGTTTGCTTCGATCTCTCAATGTCCTTTCAGTATCACGGTTTATGTCGATGCTGATGTTTACTTGTGCTCTTTCTTCACTCCTAGATTGGACCTGGTACCTATTAACCGCTCTGTGGGGCTGAAAGCCAAACCTACCAAACCTGTCACTGAGGTCCTGCGCCCCGTGGTGGCCAAGTATGGCCTCCACCTCAGCGATCTTGTGGCCAAAATAGTAAGTCGTCCCCGGTGGTTACAATGCCTTAATCGTTTTGAAGCTCCTGTGTGTCCAGAGAGCAGACCGTGCAGTGTGTGACAGTGCCACAGGGTGGAGTATCATGGTTAGGGGAGGGAAGCGACCGCATCCTTTTCCATCTCTACACGGTGGTTAGCACTCTGACTCAGCCAGCCTCCGAAGATAGAGCACCAGGGCTATAATTAAGAATGACGACACCCCCCAAACATGCCGACTCTTTACTCCTCCTCTAAACCCCTGCCAGAGGATTTATTTTAGTCCTGTGGGTTTACAGGCATCATAACTGTATCATTCAGAAGACAGGAGCTGAAAGATGGTTTATAAATTAGGCAAAGGCTCATGAAGAGAAATTGTAACATATATAGACTCTGGCATGACAGGTGAAGATACTAATGTGTCGACCATCTAACTGTGTTTTGTTTTAGAGCGGAGAAACTGAGCCTTTGGACCTGGGTGCCCCCATATCGAGTTTGGATGGCCTGCGAGTTGTGTTGGAGCGCGCAGACCCATCTTCAGGCAAAGGTAAGACCATCTAACACGCTGTAACCTAATATTTAACATTAAATATTACAAAAAATAAGAAATTTACTACATTTTAAATGGATGTGAGAAGTGGTTTTCCCCACTGGAACATGTCATTAAAGTTTTTATTTATTCAAACACACAAAAACATACAGTCAAACTCTAAAATAAACACTTACCCCAACATCAGCAGACAGTATATCCAGCAACCCCATATACAGGCCTCCTGCAAACTGACATTTCCTTTTTTGAGACAACCAAAATATACATTCAGCACCATGTCTACAATTTTTTTCATATGTCCTACCTACAAAGAGATACATTCCCATGCCCTCCCAAAATGTTCTTCTTCGTTGTTAATTCTAGCCAACATGCGTTCATATGATGCAACTTCTGATATCATTTCCATCCATTTTTTAACATCTGGGGCGACTGTACTCTTCCATGCTCTGACAATTATTCGAGCGTATTTAGATATATTTGACATTTCTGTTTGGTCCCCTAATAAACACAGTCTTGGTGATACAGGTACCACCACACCCAGCCACTTACTCACATGTTCCAGTACTTTCTCCCAAAACGAGTCGACCAGTTTACATCCCCAAATTACATGCAAAAATGTCCCTATTTCACTCTGACACTTCCAATTTCCTATTAAGCCCATTCTATGTATTTTTGAAGGGGTGAAATAGCTCTGAATTATCTTGTTCTGAATAAATTTCCCCTTCGCCTCTCTCATGTGTTTCCCTGTATTAGATAAGATATTTAACCAATCATCCTCACTCAGATCACACCCTAGGTCTTTCTGCCAAGTGATCCTCAGATTTTTACATCGTATACCATTAAATGTCTTAAAAAAAATATGGCTGTTCTGTATGTTATATTAGGTAGGTCCAAAACTTCCATCAATGTATTCTTGTTGCGACTAAATTTACCCTTTGTGATATAGTCTCTTATTTGGAAATATTTACAAAAATGACCTTTATATTCCAGATTATATTTTTGCATAATCTCAGCAAACAACATGAACACTCCATCCACACACAGGTCACTTATTTTGCGTACCCCTCTTACAAGCCATTGATTCCAATGAACAAGTTTCTTCCCAATACATATGGCTGGGTAATACTATAGAGAGACATTATCTTGAGGTGAATTTCTCCCCAGACTGCTTTAGAATAAGACAACACTGGGTTTGAAAAATAATTATGACCCTCACTGGAACCTGTAACTAACTTGTTTCTTTACTGGGTTGTTCTCTCTCGACAGAAATGTAAATCGTGTCCACCTCCACTGATAAACATATTCAGGTTTTGCAGAACATGTCTCTCGTGTCTTAAGTGTCCTCACCCTCCCTCTCTCTGTATCACTCTCTCCTCATCAATTTCTCAATCTGATGAATTTTTCATGGGCATCTCTCGCTCTCTCTTTCAAATAGACAAATCCAAGTCTTCCTCCTTAAAAGGCCACCCTCCAACCAGGAGTTTTTCTGCGACAGTAAGTACTCACGACGTCTTCATACTCATACAACATGTTGCCAACAAGTCCAGATGTGGTGTTTTGTCCTTTTTTATTGCTGCACTGCTTCTGCAACATTCACTATCATCTGATAGCGGCCCTCGTTAATCCTCATTAACATTTACAAGCTTGGTACATTGGTGTGTGTTTCCTGATCTTTTTGCATTCTTTGCCCTAACACTGCCTGTTGCAGACTCACTTGCTCATATTTCTCTGTGCTTGGGGTATTGCACAGTGTGTAGGCAGATAGCATTTGGTCCATATACTAGCAAGGTTAGTTAAAGCTCTGAGCCGACAGATGGACCAGGATCATCTTTATATGAGGGTCTCAGTAAATCTGGACCCTCGGCTTAGTAGGGTGCTTGGCAGCTCATGCTTAGCCCCACCCCCCAACCCCATCCCCCATCCCTCCATCTCCTAACAGAGTGCATTGTTATTGTTGCATCTGCAGGGAGATGAGAGGTCAACACCAAAGGACTTTTCTGTGAGAGCAAGTGGACCAGACTCAGCACTCCCAGGGGAAAAGAGAAAACAGAAAAAGATAAATATAGATGAAGCTGAAGGTAAATCTCCTTTTTCCTTCTTTCTCTCTCTCTCTCTTTTTGACTTGTTGGTAGATTTCTTAGCTTTGCTTTGCATCAGGACTGATATCTTTGGCAGCTCTGGAGGGTTATTCTCTCTGTCAGGTGTTAGGCTGCTATGCTGCATGCTAAACCCAATTAATCCCGTTCTTCCAGGTGCTCACCTATTTGGAAAGTTTAAGTGAGGGAACTTGTTTGATCTGTTTTGCAGAATTCTTTGAGCTGCTGAGCCGGGCACAGAGCACCAGAGCCAACGACCAGCGCGGACTCCTGAACAAAGAACACCTGGTGCTTCCCGACTTCCTGCGCCTAACCCCACCCGACGTGTCCAGCTCCACTCCTGATTCCTTGAGACAGACCCGGGAAAATGGCGTCCCCTCGCGGGGGGCCCTCACCTCCAGCCTACGTTCGGAGAGCCTTGACTCCTCCCTCAGCTCCAGTGCTAATGGACACTCCGGGGCCAGGCGGTGCTTGTTGGCCCCTCCCCGCCACCCAACATTTGGCACCCACCTGTCCCCCATCTCCCGGCCCATAGACACCCGGCCAAACCTCCGCACCGTGGAGGAAGACACCCACACCGACCTGACCCTGGTGGGGGAGGGCGACATCAGCAGCCCCAACAGCACCCTGATGCCTTCATTACCGTCCCCCATGCTGTCCTTCGAGAGCAGCCTGCCTGAAGCCAACTTCACCCCGCCACCACCCTGCTCCCAGTCTCAAGACAAAGGTGGAGAGAAAAAGTCCAGCTCAGGTATTTCTACAGCGTAACAAACCAGTGCTCCGTGTGTTTGCGTGTGTGTCGAATGTGCATGTGTGTGCTCTCTCCCCGGTGGTCTAAACCCAACCACCTTCATGATAAAATTCCCACTACACTGACTCTGATGCACTTTAATGACAAATTGATATTGACTCATTCAAACCGATTTGTTTTATTAAACTTAGCAAAGCATGTACATGTAAATAGTATAATGTATATATTCTGTTCAGTGAGTAACATTTACTTGGATGTCACTTCCCATGTCACACATTGTTGGGTTTGCCATATGACTGGGATTATTATTATTCCAGTTAAATATTTAGTTTATTTTATAGTTTTGGGTGCATGAGAATGCTGATGTAACTGATTATGGATTTTAATAATATATGCATAATGCATACAGATAATGATCAATATTTGACAGTACTGTAGTCAGTGAAAGTTGCGCTGAAGATTATAATTCAGAGCAACTGAAGGTGTTGAGATTTGCAGCTGTTGTCCCCGGCATTATGGGTTAAAGATTTACAATTAGAAAACATCGTAGCAAACCAGACCCATGGAATCTTTTTACAGTGTTGGACCTGCGAAGGCTGGAGAGTCATTACAAAACAAATGCTGTATTCCTCTCCATCCCACCACCTCTAGTTAAGAGCAGTTCAACAATGTCAAAAAGTTTATTTTTCTTTTCTTACGCAACTCTCTAAAAACTAGTGAATCATTAAACAGTGTCAGCTCCCACTACAGCAATTTGAGCAGTGGAAAATAATTAGTCATTGGAGGAAGTGCACCTTTGCGCTGTTGACATTGTTGAATTGCCTGTCATTCTTTATCTGGATCATTCACTCCCTGTCTAGATGCCTGTTGTAGATAATCACTGCCAATAAACTCTGTACCTGTGATTGAGTAGATCTAATAAATGTTAGAACTGGAAATCACTCTTGTCTGTCTTTTTACATGTTTGTAAGCTCGGCCGCCCCTCCACCTCCATCTCCACCTCTCTGCCTCTGCATGCCTTCTCCCATCCCCCCTTAGCTCTGTCTCATTTTGTCTTGTGGCTTCCTCCTCTCATCAGCTCCCATACTCCTTTGTGTACTTACCTGTGTTTTTCTGCTCAGATTGCTCAGTGTGGCGTGTTTGTGCTGTCTTGTTAAACGGTAAACTCTGCCTACTTGCTTGGGGTGTCACGGCTCTGTTTGTGTGAAGCTTCAGTGTGGCACTGTGGATCTCCTGAGTCTGTCTTGTTAAACTTGTAAACTTGCCGTCGTGTGGTTCGTTGTGCGTGTGGAGTGAAAGATCATCTCGTCTCCTGCAGATGGATTTCATTTTCTATTTCTCGTCCTCCACATCCCCACTCCCCCACTGTGTATGTTTCTGAGATTTTAAGGTAAACAATCAGGTGGTGAATTGATTTGTAATGGTGGTGGGTTATTTTCTACAGTAGGAGCCAAAAGCATTCTGTGTCCAGATATCCAATTAGATTCTTGGCTTTAAAGAAAATCCCAGGAAACCTTCTTCTTTGAAACGCTGTGAACTCTATAAAAAGAGAAGATAATCACTCTCAACATGTTTTCCAAGTGTCTCACTCTTCAAAGCACGATATAGAAGGGGCACGAGGGTTTTCACGCCGACTTCACTGCCTTGTATTAATAGCCAGGCTTTATGTACACAAGACGATGAGGAGGAATCAAAGCCTTTCAGCTCCTCTGCAGACTCGCTCCTCTTTTCTGGTTGCTAAGTGCATCAGCCTGAATCTTCCCACCACCGGGCGCCATGGTAACCTTATCCACGAGTTGACTGAGCTACAGATAGAAACTGTCACAACTGATTTTCATCCATCTCCCAGCCTATTTCTCTTCGTCTCCGTCCTTCTCCCACTCGCTTAAATGGAAACATGGCTATGATTTGAGAGACCCATATTTTTAACACTGTTTGCCACCTTGGTGCGGCTGAGGCTCTGAGGGATCTGCAAACATGGAAACGCAGCAAGTTAACACGCCTCCACTTTACCACTTTTTGTGAAGTTGTTACTTTTTAATTTGGGTGGAAAGTCACCCTCGCAGGCTCAGTAATGTGTTTTAGAGACAAACACCCACTGGATAAGTCCATCAATCCAAACAAGTTAACAATGGCTCATTAGCATTTATCTTCCTCTCTTCTTCTGTGTCAATCAGTCGACTTGATTTCAGTCACTGCAGATCTCCCTCTTATCTCCAGCTGGTGTATTACTGTTAAACTGACGCCCTCTGCTGTTCCAAAGGAATAGATTACATTGATGCTGAGGCAGATCAACATGTCACAAGATGCATCAGTGCCACAATATCGTAAATAATAAAGTGCTGTGGAAAGGAAAAGGATAAACGTCCCACTGCTTACGCTTCTTCACATGAGTGTGAATAAAAGATATACAATACGCTATTGTTTCCTCTGATTCGAATGAAAAGTCACCAAACAATAAAAGTTCATTCTTTTGTATCAGTATAAGCATTTGCATATACAACTGTGGCTCCAAGCCACCAGGTCTATTACCAAGAGTATTTCTGGCCTTACAGGTAGTTTACAGCATTTACTTGGCATGTCAGGTGTAAATTGGGCCCCAATTAAACTGTTAAAATCCAAGCCAGAAGGGCTCTGGTCGATATCCAGAGGACCAGAACTGAGAACTGCTGCTCTGTGTTACCACAATCGGTTCTTAATCATGGCTGTAATCACCTCTCAGGGTCTGGCAGGCATTGGGGTCTGTAGGCTTGGTTGGTAGGGATTAGGGCGTCCACTAGGGGGTGATATCACACAGTCTAACTCCATTCATATGACTCTGACTTGAACTCAATGCATGGAGTTTTTAGTTTAGAATAAACAAGAATAAAGTTGTCCTTTATAAACAAGACGGTGATTAATGATTCATTCAGCAAGCTGAGAATGTGTTTCCTTTTTCCTCTCTGCAGTCATGGTCAGAGGTTACATGCTCAGGTTTTAGGCCCAGAGGAGATGATGAAAGGATTCCTGGAAGTAAATTGGACATCTACCCAGTGGCCAGGCTATCTCCAAAAACTGCTCTGTAATGACCCCGTTTCAGCAGCACACCTGGGGAGACCATATGGCTCAGTTTGCTTTCAGACCTGCTTCACTTTCTTCCTTCTCGTGCCTCTGTGTCGGCTCTCAAAGCTGGCCGCTGCTGACCACGGGCCAGCCTTATCATCCATCTGGCGGTCAGAGGAGGACTCGACGCAGATCTTTGGCAGTCAGCCCTCCTTGAGGGCTGTAAGCTGGGTCCGTTCCAGCCTGGCTGGTCTGTCTCAGCTCTCTGACTGCTGCCACGGCTGTGGACAAGCCTTGCCACAGGAGGCATGGTTATGTTAAACCATGGCTATGTCAAGACATAGTTTTTACATGTCAAGTCAGCACGCTTGAACATTGAAAACATGTATGAAAAAGTTGTATGGCTAAATAATGACTTGAAGATGTACAAAAACATTGTAATAAAAAGATGGCATTGGAGCTTTTTCCTCCTTCTAAATATGTATGAATAAGCAAAATCAGGCATTTTGAACTATATCAACATGGTCATTCATTGTAAGAAAGCTTAAAGCCTTTTACGTTTTTGTATAACTGTCTCCTCTCAGTAGCAACATCTTAGATTGCCCTGTGACGGATCGGAAACCTGTCACGGGTCTTCCCATGACATTTGAATGGGAAATGGCCTATAGCGTTACTGGTGGACCCTTAACAGTAATAAGTGGGTATAGAGCAGTGTTCCAACTCTTTTGGCTTCTGACTGGAGCTGAATTGATTAGTCTATTGATTGAATTGATTTTCTGGGCTTTAGACAGTTGGTTGGACAAAATTAGACTTGTAAAGACGTCACCTAGCGCTCTGGGAAATTTTGATTTTCCACAATATATTGATCGAAAAAATTATTGACAGCTTCATCGATAATGAAAATAGGTTGCTGTCCTACTTGTGACCCTTTACAAATAAGCAACTTTAACTTGCCAAGCCAAGGTTATTATTTAGTTATGACAACACAAATGAAAATTATTTTTTAGCATCACACATTGATTGAGTTTTTTTGTCCACAATACAATTTGTAAGCCTGAAGAGGTAAAACTATCCAGTATTAACAGTATAAAGTCATTTTAGATTTTTTCGCCTAAATTGCTTATAATCCCATGACCATTAACATTTACATTTATTCATTTAGCTGATGCTTTTATCCAAAGCGACTTACAATTGCTTAGTATGTCAGAGGTCGCACGCCATTGGAGAAACTAGGGGTTAATTGTCTTGCTCAGGGGCACATTGGTGGATGTGTCACAGTGGGGCACTGAACCTTATTTTTATTGAATTGTCTTGTCCACTGCACCACTACCACCCTTAACATCTATCTTGTGACTCCTTGGGGGCTCCTGATCCCTATGTCGGGATAGAGAGAGGAATAGGAGATGGATGGATAGATGAATAAATGTAAAAATGTTCAAAAATTCAACAAACCTCAATTCATCAAAATGCGTCATGTAGCAGCCAGCTCTACATACCAGCATCAATACATCACATCCTGCGGAAAAACCTGTGACGGAGTTTTGTGTTTATCTAGCATCAGTTATATCAAATTTTAATCAATTTCATGCCTAACACAAGTCAGTATTGTGTCCTTGGACTTCAGGCAAGATTACAGTTGTTGGAAAGTCTTTGAAGCTGTTTCGTGTTCACCTTTGTGGTTCAAGTAATACCATAGTCGTGTTGCTGTGGGGTCTGTGTACGGTCAGCTGTTGGAGCTCACAGGCTGTTTACATCTGTACTGAGAAGCAGTGAATCACAGTCAGCAGAGATAGGAGAGTCTCTTGTTGAAGTGCTGTGTTTGAGTCACCCGGGCCTCTGTGTTTAGAGTCGGCAAGGCCACAGAGTTCACATAAGAAGTGGAGAGTTTATCAGTCATCATACCCTTAATGCCAGCATCCGAAAAAACCTTTAGAGCCCAGGAGTACACACAGATGAAGACAGGGGAATTTTGGAGTCCCCCCAACACACCCTCTTTAAATGTGATTTCAGTGTTTATTAACTTGTGTTCAGGGCTGTCTGATGAGGTAACGCAGCCCTGAATTTGAAATGAAGTACAACTGGTAATACGGAAACATATGTGACAACAATGAAATTAAAGTGTATATTTTATCCTAGTCCAATTTCATCCAGTTCTTTCTCATGATTTCAAGTTTCAACCGACGCAGTTATGTCATCAAGTTTGTCTCAAACATATTAGGTTGACCGAGCATTTGAGTGAGTTAAAATGCATGTGCACCCACATGATGGGCGACAAAGTTTCCACTTCTTAGGTCCTCTGACATCTCATATAGTCATGCTAAGCATCTGGCCATCATGCAGCATAATGCAAAATCAATGCTCAGTCGCCTGGAGGTCCACATGAGTCAAAGATGCAGAGGAGATGAAGCGAGTAGAATTAGGTTTTTTCTATGTTTAGTCACTGTTATTTGAAGACGCATTTTTGACAACCATCATATAAGATGAAGACTGTCGTAATATGCTTATTTAAAGAAAATTGTATATAAACAATGGATCGGAACCACCCTTATAAATATTCAAATAGAAATCTTGGACGTCCACAGTGCATCAGCTCACCTTAAATCTTCCATGTCTTTCTCTTCTCAAACGCACAGAGAGAAGAACAGACCCAAGCTCCAATGCCAAATCACCCACCAACAGAGCCGACGCCGCACAGACGGTTCAGGAGGTGATGGACGTGGAGGGGGTGCATCTAGAGGAGGGAACACTCGAAACCTCCCGGGGTGAGGAATCTGAGCTCAGCCTGAGCTTCCAGGGCTACGTCGCTGAGCTGCGGCAGTGCCAGAGCAAGATGAGGAACGCTCAGGTGCCCCATAACGGCCGCAACCCACCAGAGGGCAAGGACTGCAAGACAGACCTTTACAAGGCCACAGTTGTCTAAAGGGAACCCACACTGCTGCACTTTTAAAGCCTGAGGCACTGTCCTTTGAAAGAGAATCCGTCAGATGATGGGCTGCATGTACAAAGCTGTCAATTCACACTCCAAAAAAAAATCAATATTATGGTGATAGATATTGTATATTTGTTATGAATTTTGGCGTCTTCTTTTTGATTTTTAGTACTGATTGTCAATTTGGGGCAGTGATATGTTTTTGTTATGTTAGAATTTATAAGTGGAAAGCAATTCTATTATGAGCCAAGTTAGACAGGACAACCATGACAGATGCCTGAAATTAACGTTTGGGTACCAGTTTCTAATTAGGCTCACATCATAAACAGTTTATAGGTTGTAATGAGTGGGTTTATTAAATATCAGTTTTTACTTTCTAATAATAATTTATAGACACTATAAAGTTTGAGTTTAACCCAGTGTCCAGTTACTAGCCTTTTCTGCTAGCCTTCACTAAGGAAGAGATGCAATCAAAAGCGCTGGAGAAAGCTTGTAAATGTCTTATTAATAACTTGAATTGATCTCTAAAACATTACCAAATGATTCCATTTATAAACCATTAATTATGCTATTAATTACGACTCATGGTATGAAGACGTTAGGAAGGCTGTGAGATGCAGTTGAAAGCTCCCGCTCCAATAATTGTAAGTAAACCTTGAGTTTGAATTTTTGGTAAACTACTGTTGCCCTATTACAAAGTGGAACCCGCGTTTGTTGGACCATATGCCAGACAGGACTTTAGGATCAAATGGGAGGCAAATCACAACTTTCTTTGGATATTTAAATATTTCCTGTTTACATCTTCTTCCTGTGTTTTGCAGATGGTACCTTTATTGCCTGTAGTTCCTGCTTCTGTGGTTTTGAGGTTGTCCACATGTTGAATGATTAAAAAGCTTTGATGGCTGTAATTCCAACAAAACTGACGTTTTTTTCTTTCGTACATTGTATATGATTAATTGGTATTTCGGACATCCTCACCATCAAATCCTAACGTCTAGTCCACCTTGTAAAAAAATACTCCTCTGTTGTAGTTTATAACCCAAATGTAAGACAGTCACGGCCCTTTATTCTCCTACTTGGCGTATTTGGCCAGCCATATGTGTTTGCTAAGTCAATAATTAATAGTCTTAGGTGAACAATTTCTTCTCTAGTAACACACACCCTTCACATAAGGATTCGTCACTGGCCTGGACGTGCTGTTTAGTCGTTCAGCCTCCTCTTTGTATTTTTAGGTCAGCATCTGGACAGAGATTATTACAGATGGTGAAAATTAGGGGTTGGATTATGGGACAGGGCAGTTTGTCTTGACAGAGCGTGTCACTGCTGGTATGCTGACAACACATGAGGCCTATAAATGGTTGGTTTGGCTCTTCACTTTCATACTAACCTTATTTAAAAAGGTACTGTCATTACTGAATTCTTCATTAGTAATTAACCCTAATGTTAAAACATTAAGAAACCATAAAGTCCTGCACTCTCAGTCACTTGCACTTTATTATCAGCTTTCATCAGATAACATTTTATCCAACCTGGTGAATGTCTGTCGACATAAATGTTGATAATGAAGTGACTGCAGTGTGCTGGATTTACCAGTTCCCTCTTTGTTTTTGATCCGACACACGTGTCAAAATAAGCTGTTAAAGGGGCACTCAGGTGATTTTGTATTGCAAAGTTGAGGGAACTTCAAAAAACATAAAAAGTTGGGTTTCAAGATTTAAAAAACTGATGCAACAGAGGCTAAGATATCTAAAAGTTTTGCTGGAAACTGTTTTCACAGGCTTGTTACTCCCAATGACAAGTAAACAGAACTTAATGTGTGTTGTGTAAATATGTGTAACCAAATGTAAAATTGGTGAAGTGCACCTTTAACCTGTTTTGGGGACTTTTGTGGAAACCTAAAGTAACATTTCTTGGTGTGACCATGGCTTCTTTTTGGTAGTTATCAACTGTGAAATGCAGGGTAAAGTTGTGTTAGCAAGCCCAGTGGTTCTCAAAGTGGGGTCCAGGGACCCTCAGGGGTACTGGTGGCTCCAAGGGATCCCCAGCAAAAGGTGGAATCATTTATTTTCACTATAATTCAATCCATAAGTAACCCAGTGACCCAATGTATGCTTACTTTGGTCATGGGTTTCACACTTTCTGTAATAAAACATCTAAAAGTAAAAATCCTATCAGACTCTGGGACAAGATCTGTCAAATAGTCATCAGTCTAATTTGTGTCAGTTTAGGATCCTTGAGTCTTGAAAGTTTGAGAACCACTGAGCCAGCCAACCAAGTTAGTTAACTAGTCTAGCTAACATAATTAAGCTAACTGCTAAGCATGCTAAAATGGCAATAGATTTAATGAAAAATTGAAATAGGACGTTTTATGAGAGTCTAGATAATCAGAGTGAATTGCCATTTACTTAAAATTGCATAGTAATTCTCTGTGTGTGGTCTGGAACTAGCTTAAATTGACATTATGTTAAAAATAATAACTTTAATGAACTTATTAAAATCGTTAATTACTTTAAATTCTCTGATGTTAGTGTCCCCTCCTAATGTTTATGTTCTAATAAAATGCTTAGTTGATACAACTCTGCCAAGAGGATTATGTTAAGTTTGTTACTTCTGATAACCATTAAGGCAGGTCTGTCAAAGCTAATATTTAGACCTCTTTATTAACAAAACCAGTGCAACACGACCACACATCACAGCTCAAACAAATATTTTATATTCTTATTCGAGTTTATTCGACCAGGCGAAAAAAAAATAACATCGCGCAGGAGTAACGCGGTCCTCCTGCAGCACCGTCTCGACCCCTGCCTGTGCCTGTGACTCCGGAAAGTTTCGGTCCGTCCTCTCTCTCGGTAGATGACAATGACAAACCGTGGGCGTCTGCAGAGAAGATGTTGGGGGAAGACCAGCAGGGACGTATAGGATGCCTGAGAGACAGACGAGCCTAATGACGCAACGGGTTTAACGTTACTCAATACTGCTTGAATTTGTGTGGGACAGGATAATACTTGCAGGATTTCCTATGACCAAAAGCAGGCTGAGGACTCGGAAACTGACAGATATAAAGTGACAGGCACGCAGATCATCTCCCGAGCTGTGCTGGAAACAAGCTTCTCCGGACACCAGGCACCAACAAACATGATGGCATACCTTATATTACTTTTTCTTCCTTGTGTTCTCAGTGCACGGGCGGTAAGTTTTAACCATCCTACTCACCTTTGCGCGCACGTTCTTATCCATTTTGTTAGTAGAATAACTTCTCTTTCCCGATTTCAGCGCATTTTAGTCCCCGGGTTTGAACTATCCATCTCCCAAGAGCCATATAGGGAGAGCAGGAAAGGTAGGTTTCACCTCAGGGCTGTGTTAGATTTAGAGGAAAGGCAGTGAATCTGATGTATTTTCAGCTGTAGCAGCTGAGAAAGTTGTTGGTGCAACATAAATCTACAGCATGTTGGAGGCCAGTGCTTGTATAGGTCTGTAACCAGCCTTATAACAGCATGATTTAGCTGGCTGAGGAGAGGATCACGGATTTACAGTCCTCTGATCAGATGAAAGCAGAGTTTTTGTGTGTGAGGTTCCGGGGGAAACAGCACAAATGGTTTTGATAGAGTTTCTGATGTCACTTTTTTGTGTCAGTCAGTGAAAGTCTCTAACAAACTGTTTTTCTCTGCCCCGTTACCAGTTCTGACTACTACGGGCAAAGAATGTAAGTTCCCATTTCGTCAGGGTGGACGGATTCATCACCACTGCATCACCATCCTGTCCTCAAGACCGTGGTGAGTCCTTATTAGCCAGGCCCTGTCTGGATCTACTGTATTTGGTTACACAATCACCAATGTGTGCCTTGAGATCACACAAAAGTTGCCACACACTTGCACCAGACAGAGGGACAACTCAGATCTCAACAGGTAGAAGTGCTGCCTCATCATATTTGATTTTTGGGCAGTCACTCAGAAGCCACACACGCCCTCTCCACGCCACCCTCACACAGGTTTGACGTCACAGGTGCTTCTGTGACTTGTCCTGAAGCTGGCGTGACCTCAATGATAAACACAAAGCAGGCACTCGCTGACGGGACGCTGATGCAGCGTGTAATTGGGTTGTGTAGTTTCATATAATTGCAGCTGGCAGTGATGAGGGATTTATGCATCGCAGCGTCATCATGAAACATAATGCAATTTTTAATGAGGTGATGAGCTAACTGGCTTTCATAAATGGCTAATTGCTGAATTGTCGCTGGGCCTTTTAATGATTTGCAAGCCCCAACTAGAATATCATAACATGGTGTTATCATACCCAGCTGTTTTTAAAGGTGACGTGGAAAATTCCTCTTAAACTGTGACTAGCTGTAGCTTATAACATTTATTTACTACTCCATGCAGTTTATTCTAATAAACAGCTGTCACAGTTAAACCGTAATGGGGCATTTTTTTATTGCTTCAGATTGTGACACAGCAACAAAATCTTATTTTTATTAGATTTCTTTTATTTATTTATTTATTTTAAAAGGCTGAAAGGCTTTCCAGTCATCATTCCTTGGAATTGAGACAAGAAGGGTTGGTGCCAGAAAGTTGGAGCAACATGAATGCAATTATACATGGCCCAACATCTCTGGTCCACCTACACATAAAGTTACTGCAATGTGACCCTACGTGTTTCTGCGATGTGCTCATGAGCTCAGTGTCGCGATAGGTTTGCCATTATGTAGTGTAGATTCGTTGAGCAATACACAAGTATGCCGGCATTACTTTGATTCATTTAGTGTATGTTTGACTGAGATACAGTGGTGTATAGGTTATGGTTTTTAGAGATCATTTTTTTAGAATCAAACTGGCAACAAAAAGTACAGCGTTTCCATCACAGAGAGATCGTTAAAGTAGCTTGTAAGTACTGTACATGTAGGGTTGGACTGTTTCATTTAGTTAAAAATCCTCTATCATGGTAGAAGTAATTTTATGTCACGACATCAGATTAGTACATTTTCAGAAACATCAAATGAGAAACTTTTAATGGATAAGACAGCCAGATAATAATGATGCAAAGCTGTTTTACCCTGAGGGGGAAGAAAAGGTGGGCAAACAATCCAATAGCCGTTGAGACATTTCAATTAGAACTACAAATGTAAACCTGCTTGTGGTGCTAGAAGAAAAGTCAGGGAATGAACCAAAGTCATTAGGATTTATGAAGATCAGAGGGATCTCACAGTACAAACCATGTGGCCAAATCTCTGACAAATTGATTTGATCCAACCCCATTTAATACAAACTATTCCTCTATTTGTAACCATGTGACCTGCTGGTGACTGTATCATGTTTCTGTCTCTTCTGTTGTAGGTGCTCCCTCACACATAACTTTGATCGGACCGGCAGTTTGGCTTCTGCGCACCAGAGAAAACTCAGCCAGATGGTTAGCGCACTAAACACACAAGTGCATTTGAGCCGATATTACAGTATTGTTCTCATCAGAAATACTATATTTTGCTTTTGTTTATCCTCTAATCCTCTGTGTTGTTCCTCGTTGATGTGTTTCAGTTTTTGTCCACACATCCCGCAGAATCCCAAATCCATGTCAGGGGAATCCCTGTCAGAATGGAGGCGTGTGCACGCCGATCCCACACAGATACTCGTTTGAGTGCTCCTGTGCTGAGAACTTCACTGGGAAACTCTGTGAGCAGAGTGGGTAGACTAATTACTATTTTCTTCTTATTATTATATTATTTATTATTTTTTATTATTATTAATATTTTATGAATGAAAGGTGTAATACCAGTGTTTTCTTTATGTGTATCCTCTTTTTAAAACACGTTCCAAAAACAGAAGAATAATCACATATACTAACCCATCTATTACATTAAACATTAGATTCTCTTCGTTGTAGAGGGCTGCAGGGATGACGTATTTTCGTAGGCCAAATTGGAAGTTA